CTCTTGTCTGGGCGTTCGAAGTGGATGAGATTGCTGCTGGTGCACAGGTCCTGGCAGGACCCGTCTCTTAGAACCCGTAGTCCAGCGCTGGACTTCAACAGGAAGAGCTGCGGCAGCCTCCAGCGCCTGAAGCAAGGGCTGTCTTTGTGCTGGCTGCGGTACTCGTAGCAGCCTGAGAGGTGTTTCAGCTGCTGTGGGAAGGTGAAGATGTACACCAAGGCCCCTGCACCGGAGGCGACTTTGTTTTTCACCTCTTGAGGTCTGGTCCGCAGCACGTGCAAGGGAGCGGTCACAGTCTCAGACCCCAGTTGCCACTCCTTGAGGTCCTTTGAGGTCGCAATGGGCACCTTCGGATTCTTTTGCGAAGCTCAGAAACCACTCTGTTGAGCGGAAGTACAAGAGCTGCCGGCAGCGGTCGCTGAACCAGTATCTCACCTCATTGTCATCGGAAAAGGGAACGAAATACTCCTGAAATAATCCCCGTTCCTCCTGTTCCCGCGGGATTCACCACTTTTTCTGCGATCTTCGCCACTGTGGGATTGTCCACGGCGCACTTCATGGCGACGGAGTCTGAGCGCTACACCTGAAGCGGAGGCGAGTTTGATTTTGGGCTCCTGAGCTCTCGTCCGCTGCAATTGTCTTGGGGCAGTCACACTACCAGTATCCACTACTCATTCCTTGAGGTCCTCTGAAGTGGCAAGCGGAACCATCCGACGCTTGCTATTGCTGATCATCCACTGCTCCTTCACACGAAAGTAGAGGTGCTGAGAGCCCTTTTCGATCCACCAGTATCCCGGCTCATCGGAACCGTCGGGACCGCCAGGAACGAAGTACTCCCGAAACAACCCGAGCTGCTGATGTTCTTGGGCAAACTCTCTGCGAGCTGTGCCACTGTCGGATCATCCAGACGGCGTTTGATGGCGAGGCGCCAGTCACGCTCACACTGCATAAAGGGCTTTGCTCTTGGCATTGCGCCTTGCGCCTACCGCGCAGAAGCCTTTCATGCCAAGCTCCTTCCTGGCAGTCATCACAGCACTGATCCAGTTCTGCCAAGGCTTCCCGAATAGCTTGCCACTGGCAAGGTGTTCTAGTTCACTCACCCTTGCAGACGAAGCCTCTAGAACCTCAACACCCAGATCACGTTGCCTTGCAGTGCTTGTTTTTCATGAGGTGCGACTTCTCGAGGCCTGCCGAGATCTTCTCCACTAGCAAGCTTTCAAGGAAGATCGGCTGAAAAAGAGCCTGTCTTGCATTGACTGGCTTTCATTCCCGTCACGGCCTTGGCCTTCCATGGCCATGGATTCATGTTTCCAAAAATCTCCACTGCAGTGATGGAGCGATGCACACTGAACTGCTACAGGCTCACATGGGCACCTACCCGCTGCTGCTAAAAGATCAATATGCTTCAAGCACAACCCGGAGAACTGAGGCATGATGTCCTGCCAAGGAGGTTGTCCTAAGGTCATGCGACTTCAGAAGGAAGATGTAGCGGTAGATCGGCAAAGCTACATGTTTCACTGCCTTCATGACAGTTTTCGTCATTGGTAACGCCATGGCTTAGAAACGAGCATGTGCAGTCGCAGAGGATGCTGGGCTAGGAGGCTGGAGCCCAAGTTCTCATGACTGCGTCTGCGAAACCACACGCCTGACAACATCCTCATTCCCCACACCAAGGCCCTTGATTAACGTCTCAGTTTAAGACATCCGCACTCCGAAGCCGACGCGCGCGTCTCCGGCAAAGATCCCAGAACCCGAACCTCGCGGGCTTCCCGAAGATAAGTCTTCCGACGTTTCAGGTTTGGGGCGGGGACGTGAAGCTGGACAACACAAAGGGACTCACACCCAAAGCGAAGTCAGAAAATGCGAGACATCTCCACAACGCAAACAACCTGCAGCTGAAGTCAAAATTTTACCTGACACTTCTCTCCCCGGCGACCCTGAGATCACCCCACAACCTTACAGGCCCTTCCCGGACTGATCAGGGGAAGTCCAGCTGGCTCCGCGAGATTATGCCGAGGCAAGGCCCCGAATCATCCTCCCGCGACGCGAGTTCTCTATGGCTTTCAGAGTTGCGGGTTCAGGGTCCTGGCTTAGGTTTCAGACTCTGTCTGATGAGGATACGAATAACGACAGTCAGTAAGGGTCAGTCTGTACCAGTAGTGTACTGCTAACGTCGTCAACATCATCGTTATCAACGTCGTGGTGCTCGTCGTAGTGGTCGTCGTAGTGGTAGCAGTAGCAGTAGCAGGAGCAGCAGCAGCAGTAGCAGCAGCAGCAGCAGCAGCAGCAGGAGTAGTAGTAGTAGTAGTAGTAGTAGTAGTACTACTACTAGGAGCAGCAAGCGGTGAAGGAGTAGGAGTAGGAGCAGGAG